CAAAGTTTACCCCAGCCCTGGTTATTTTTCCAGTCACTGCAAGTTCTCTGTGAGAGAAGCCAGGCTGGTAGTGGCTGGTGGGCTTAGCAGCCCCTCTGCAACACCACCCTGGGCCAGTCACAAGGAATGAAGTCCCTTTTCCTCCATATCACACCCAACAATTTTGTGGGGACAAAATCTATGGGCCTTCCCTGTGTCTAGGCTGACTTCAGCATGTGTCCTTTTCTCAACAGAAGGTGACCTCTTCGGGGTGCCTCAAAGTCAGCGATGGCAGAGGGCCTGGAGGGAGGGGACAAAGCTGAGCTCAAATTCTAGCTCTGTCAGAGCTGTGGGAATGGTCTGTGGACCAATGTCCCTGAACCCCTGTAGCTAGAAAATGCTATGTATGAATGAAATGGACCTGGCAATTTCATTGCCAGGCAGAATCTGCCACTGGGTTGGCCCAATCAGATCAGGAAAGATATGAGCTTGGGAGACAAGAAGACATCACAAGAAGTCCCTTGAGCATTTACAGCTGGGATGGGTCAGATTGGGGCAGGGGGAGTGGTTGAGGACCACACTGCCTTAGATGCTTCTGGAATTCACCTGCAGAGTACTTCTGAAGCTGGGTAGGTATGGAGCTACTGTTACGACTATGAGTGTCCCGTTTCAACCGTCTAGGAGATATTTATTGGGTCTCATCTCTGCCACATCACAACTTTGGCTACAAGAACTCTTTGCAGTACCAGATCAAGTCACTGCGGCCAACAATGTAGCCATGTAGCATTCCAACAATGTAGCCATGTAGCGGTCCAACATTGTAGCCATGTAGCGTTTCAACAATGTAGCCATGTAATATTCCGGGGTTATTTTTCCTTCCCTGCATAGCAGCTACAGGGGCATCAGTCTCAGCATGTTTCAGTGTGTAGTGACTGTTTAGGGCTCTCCCAGCCTCCCATCCTGTGCTCTGAAGTCTTCTAAGGACTTCCGGCACAGATTAACTGCTCATTTGTCCCATGTGTGAGTGATCAGCAGCTTCTAAGTGCCAAGCACACACTTATGGAACAATATGACCCTTGCCGCTTAGTCAGCAGAATGACTAGCCTTAGCCTCACCCTGCCTCGTGGTTCTGGTACAAAGCAGATGCTCAAGAAATTGTCCTATGCATGTGGTGGAGGCTCCTACACTCCCAGTGTGCAGTAGGATTTGAACAACTCTCAGATCCTTCTAGCAAAGTGCCAAGATGTCCCCATGTATCAGTAGAGCTGACACAGTAGAGAATGACCTCTGGGTCTGGGAGGTGTAGCCTGGGAATTGAGTGTGGGGAAACAGGATGTAGTGATGGGGGTCCCTGGAGGTTTCATGGGTGTCCTTAAGGTCTGTTGGAGGAGGGTGGAAGCAGGAGGAGGTAGGAAATCAGGGTATCACGGAACAGCTCTAGAGCATCCTGGGTTAGAGAATGACTCATCTTGGTCTGTCCACTCAGAGCTGTCTAACTCACTGCCCCATGGTCCAGCTTCCAGTGTCCAGCTTGCCGAGGTCTCCATCTGGAAGGATGTTTGAGCCAGATTCTTCCCACGCCCTGGGATGGGGTGGGTGGGGTCCCAAGCCCAGGCCTGTGTCCCTTGGCTGGTGCGTCACTGAAGATGCTGGCCCAAGGGCTCCAAATGGGACATTAGATCATTTAACCCAGAAGGTTCCCAACTTTTAGGGTTTGAACCAAAGAGATGGTAACCGACAAGTCATCAATTCTTTTAATTTTGTTAAGAACATGAACATTCCAAGCTGGGTGGTAGTGACACACCTTTAATCCCAGCACTCAGGAGGCAGAGGCAGGAGGATCTCTGTGAGTCTGAGGCCAGCCTGTTCTACAGAGTGAGTTCCAGGGCTACATGGAGAAACCCTGTCTTGAAAAACCAAAACAAACAAACAAAAAAAAAAAAAAAAAAAAAAAAGACCATTCCAAGAAGATTTCATCTTAAAAAAAAATGCGTTTGTGCACCATTTGCAGGCAGAGGCCAGAAGATCCTCTGGAGCTGGAGTTATAGGTGGCTTTGAGCAACTAGACATGGGTACTGTGAGTCTTAACAGCCACCACCTCGGTATTTCAAAATAAATTTAATCCCAAAATGCAAGGGTGGCTGGGACTTGGCCTGACTGGGGGGATGAGGGAATGAAGAAGGAACAGACACGTGTCCCAAAGCACTGGGGTCAGGAGGGCTGTGCCTGCCCTGATAGAGTTACGCCCACTACACAGCAGCCCAGAACCTCAGCATGTACATCCAGTAGCACGGCGGAGGGCTCATCTGTTTTGGTCGGTTTGTGCAAGTCACTCAGCTCAGGCTGTGCCCCCCAGGAGCTGCAGTGGCTAAGTTTTTGCATGCATAGGTCAATTGTTTGAAGACATTTGCACCTGCATACTCTGTCAGCATCCACACTCAGAATAGTGAAAGGCTTTTCTATCCCTCTGAGCCTTACCCCAGCAGAACTGAGTGAGGCACTGGGTCCTCGACATGGCTGTGCCCCATGTCAAACAATACACATTTACTCAAGGCTTCTTGGCTCCCCACATATGAGGAAGCCATGATCCAAAGAACAGTATAGTCATCCAGAAAGGTATGGTAGTAAAGTTTCCATAGCTTACTTCATGTGTATAATAAAACAACTTCCAGGGGAGACGTGTGCAAAAGCTTCCTCCACAGCCCCCTCACACATTGGTTTTTGAAAGCACTGCAGAGGTCTCACATGCAGCCCAAGCTTCCTGCACTGACAGGACTGAGGAAAATCCAGTTGTTCTTGGTTATCTGGGAGTGGAAGCCACACCCAGAATACGGCCACTGAATGTGCTGCCAGAGAGGCTGAGAATCAACAGCCAGCCCTCTACCCTCCTACCCTGAAGGCCAGGGTGTGCAGAGAGGACTGGGTCATCCTGTGCCTTGATCACATAGCAGAGTGATCAGAACTCTGAAAAGAATGCTGTAGACCCAGGAGACCCCAGTCAGTCCCTCGGTTGGCAAGTTTTTGGGGAATGTCAGCCTCCCTTGGGTCAAAACTGAGACCCAGAGAGGGGGGTGGCTCACTCAAAGTCACACAGCAATCTGGGGAAAGAACCTGGGCTCTAGGAACAGTCAGCCCTATACTGCCTAACCCTAGGCTGGCAGGTCCACTGGTAATCGCTCCTGGCCCTGAGAGCGGCTCGGGGTCCCACCATGAGGCCCTTCAGATGTCCGGGGCTGGTGCTGGGCTGCAGGGGATGGTTTGAGTTACTTGCATGGAGACTTCCTCTCAGAAGCCAGACTGCATTCCCTGGTTGGCAGGAACACAGCTCAGCAGGGCAGGGCTCCTGCAAGAGGCCAAAGCCGCTACAATGGAGCCGCCCAACACCTCTTCAGGGCTGCTGTCACCAAGCTTAGGCTGACACCCTGGCTCTGGCAGAGAATGGGTGGGGGCAGGAGGGGAGGTTAGGGAGGCTCTGCCAGGTGGGCTGGGGAGGGATACTTGGCCTCTACAAAACAGATCTCTTTCCATCTGGAGTGCCTTGCTCAGCTGGCCTCTTTCTCGCTTCCCTCTCCTCAGGCATGCCCAGTCTCCGCTGACTGCATAAAGCCTCTTTGATTAATGAGGCCAGGAAGAAGCAGCTTCAGGATCTGGCCTTCACCACCCAATCTGTAAAATGACCAGTTATAAGTGATAATCTTTTTAAAAAGGCCTAATTTTCATTATTTTAAAGTGTGTGTGTGTATGTGTGTGTGTGTGTACACGCACACACGCAGTGCCCACAGAGGCCAGAAGCAGGTGTCAGAGCCCCTAAAGTTGGAGTTACAGGGAGGGGGTTGTGAGCTGCCTGTAGTGGGTGCTGGGAATTGAATTTGAGTCCTCTGGAAGAGTAAGTGTTCTTAACTGCAGGGCCATCTCTCCAGCCCTATAAGCAATAGTCTTCAAGGAGCCTACTGGCACCTACGCTGAGTGCTGGGGAGTTTGTCAGGGGCCCATTCCTCTCCTGAGCAGAGGGGCAATGACCTTTAAGTCTTCTCACCCACAACAGAGAGACTCAAGTCCAGACGATGATCTGCGAACTATAGGTTCCAGATGTCTCGAAGGTGTGGTATTGGGCGAATGTGTGAAAGGCTAATAAAGTTCATCTTAAGATCATTTTATTTTTGTTTTGTAGCACAGGAGGTCCAGGCATCACATCCTCTGCTCTGTTTAATATTATCTTCAGCAGGGGGTGGAGAGACGATACAGCAGTTAAGAATACTTGCTGCTCTTGCTTAGGACCTAGGCTTGGTTCCCAGCACCCATATGGTGACTCACAACTACCCCTAACTCCAGTTCCAGGGGATCTGACACCTTTTCTAGCCTCTGCAGGCCCCAGCCATACATAAGATACACATAAATAAAGCAGGCAAAACTCATATACGTAACGATAAAAACAAACCTTTAAGAGATATCTTAAGCAAAGATGCCATTGCCTCAACAAAGCAGAGTCTCACTCTAGCAGGCTGTATCTGACAGAGCGGGAAGCAAGGCTGGGACAGGGCCCTTCTTGCTGAGGTCACCGGGATGGCCCATGGTGATCAGTCTGACATCCTGAGCTTAGCTGTCAAGATGGCTGCTGCTTTGGTGAGTGAGAATCTGGCCCAACCCAGGGCTCGAAACTCTGTGGAGGATATGTAGCTTCCATGACATCTGAAGCCTCAGTTGCTCAAAAATCCCTATCATCTAGCTGATGAGCCCACTTTTCCCTGAACTTTCTTTGGGTTTCCTGACACCTGTGGCCAGCTGGGTGGTTTCAGTAGCCCCCTCCTCAAGAATCTGACATAAAAATTAGCCAGCACAGGTGTGTACCTTGCCGTACAACTGGGGGTGGAGGGGCCTTTACCGTGGCGCTTCTGCCTTGTGAACGCACTGAAATATTGGTGCTTCTCAAGTTTACTACTGGAACCATCTTTGCAGGCAGCATCTCTGAGGAGGAGCATTCTGGGGAAAGCACAAATGCCTTCCCTCCGGTACACGTACACCCTACACTACGTCACTTCCTGTGGTGCGTGCCTCAGGTCCCTGACCGGAGAGATGTTTGGTGGGCAGAAACGCTGCTCCACCACAAAGGATGAGAACGTGTCCTCGTGTCTCCACCTTTGCTCATGCTGTGTGCAGAATGTTAGAACGTCTCCAGTTCCGCTCACGTGGACCCTGAATCTTGCAGGTCTGAGGGTGCCAGCATATGGACAGTCCCCAGGGACAGAGGGAAGGTCCTTCTCTCCTAAGCTCTCCCTTGGGCCTTGTTCCTATCTGAAGCTTCACCCAGAAGACCACTGGCCTCTGGATATGGATCTGGAAGTACCCTGCCTGGTCTTAACTTTTAGATAGTCCCCTTGGGCAACGCATGGAAGCGACAGGTGAGTTGGCCTGGCCACGGCACTGGTGGGACTCTGAGCAAAGTGAACTGTCTATGCTTGTACCCAGACTCAGTGGACACCCAGCACCGCCAGTCCCTCGAGGGTGGGGTGGGTGTGAATTGGCGAGAGGCCAGTTGACCTGCCTGACCTTCAATTTCCTCAGAAGCCAGTTCCTACCAGCTAATTTCCTCCCTCTTCCTTAACTCCAGAGAGAGAGAGAGAGAGAGAGAGAGAGAGAGAGAGAGAGAGAGAGAGAGAGAGAGAGAGAACCAATATTCTGGTTTCCTTGGGTGTGAACTTAACACACACAGACACGTGTCGGACCCTGGGGAGGGTTGTGGAACTGGAGCTTGTGGCTGGGACACCTTGACCTTTCGCTGGACAGGTGAGAGGGTTAAGGAAAACCCCCCCCCCCCCCCCCCCCCCCCGGTGCTGTTTTCTGAGCTGCTAGAGGGGAAACATCCCTTCATTTTCTCTCGTGTGGATCAGGACATTGGATGAAGGATGAACTGGGAGGGAAGCTATGGCCCAGCCCACACAAAACACAGACCCACTTCTACGGGGCAGCCTGAACCCCACTAGGCCTGCCTTCAGAGCAGCCTGAACCCCACCAGATCCACCTCTCTAGGGCAGCCTGAACCCCACCAGATCTGCCCCTCCAGGACAGCCTGAACCCCGAGATTGGCTTTGCTAACCCTTCCCCTCTGAGGTTGGCTTTGCCCTCAGTGGCCTGGAACTAGCCAGATTTCTACCAGTCTGCCATTTCCCAATTATTCCGCAGACACTAAGCCCCTCACATCAAGCACCAGAATGTATCAGCTCTGTGTCGTCAAGCCCTTCAAGGGCTGGGCCCAGAGTGGGTCTGCCTGATAGAATTATGAGCAGGGTGTTATCTGTAGTTGTTGATGAAATGCCCTTGAAGAGCAGCTTCTCTTGCCTCTGAGAGGGTGTCAAGCTCTTGGCAAGCGTGAGTGGGCACTGGGAGGCCGGGCAAAGGGAGAGAAGGGGTGAGAGGCAGGGATGCACGGAGCTCAGATGAACACGCTAGCTTTCAATTTCCCCTTGGCATTCACTCGTCAAACCCCACAAGCACTAAGCACTTAGGCTTGCCAGGATCGTGGGGCATTCTGGCTTGGGGCACTGCTGAGCGTCCCAGCTAGGAGCGCTGTATGTCTGGCTCTTCCCATTCTTGGGTAAGTTATTTAAGGTCTCTGAGCCCTGGTGACATCAACCCATAGCCATAATATTCAGTGTTCCACGAGGTTTTTCCGAGGAGTACACGCGTTTATTTGTATAACGTTTTTGGCACAGTCCTTGCTACATATACGCTCATTACTATAACGTGAAAGACAACATTCTTTCAGCCCTGCATGGTTAGAGCAGGCACTGGAGTCCTGTCTCCTAATCTAGCATCTTTATCAGATGCTTGAGAAAATCGAGGCTGGAGCAAAGCACTGTTTTTCCCCGAGTTTACAGAGCAGGCCTGCTCTCTGACTTCCCAAGTGCTCCTCTGGGGAAAGTGGTATGTGTGCACAGCAAGGCTCAGTTCACACACAGTGCACAGCCTGAGTGAGTCCTCGACACACAGCTGAGGATGTACTTAAGAGGCAGAACACGCTGCTGAGAACCCCACCTCTCCCTCCCATCCCTGCGGCTGAGTTACAGCCGGGCCCAGGAGAGAATGGCTTCACCCCAGAACATTCTCTTACTGGATTGAGTCTGTGGCTGTCAGAGTGATACAATGTATTTGAGAGACTTTTAACTGTTTCCATGGTGCTAGCATACCCTTGATTTCATTGGACCCTCACAGAACTTTTTAAAGTTACATTGTGTGTGTGTGTGTGTGTGTGTGTGTGTGTGTGTATGTGTGTGTGTGTGCAGAAGGCAGAAGCATGCATGGGCATGAACACTTACATGTACCATAGCATACAAGTGAAGTCAGAGGACAATATTTGGATGCTGGTGCTCTCTTTCCATCATGTGGGTCCTGGCGATCACACTCGGGCTCTCAGGCTGGGCTGGAAATGCGTTCACAGACAGAGCCATCTTGACAGCCCTCTTGTTTGTTTTTTTCCTAACACATACAACTCTATTGTCAATCCTCTCAACAATTGCCACTGAGGAACAGAGGTCAAGGAAACAGCCCGAAGATGCACAGCCGGGGTTCCAATCCGTGTACCTGGGCCCTAGTCTACCCTCCTTGCTTTAATACCAGCCTGTACATTTGAAGCTCCCTTGCATTGTAGAATACATTGTTGCCCTCTGTTACCTCCTGGCCCGTGGTCCCTTGATGCTGGGAGTCCTCCCCTCCCCATAGCTGTGGGAACCAAAAGTGTCCCTAGACGCTGGCAAATACAACACAAGGGGTAAACAAGCCCCTGGGTGAGAATCCTTGTTCTCATGCTATCCTGACAGAAAGCAGAGTCGTTTGGAAAACACAGCAGCTTCTAGTTAGATAAATACCGTTTCTGCAGATCTCTTTCCAAAACGAACGGTTATTGAAATTCAAATCAGCCTTGACTGCTTACCCCTGAACCCAGGCATTTTACAGACCATCTGAGAATGAGCTGATCAGAGCAATCCAGTTTCCTGCCCGGAATAACAAAGCTGGTCCGTGGAAGGATGGGAATTGGAATGCTGGCCTTGGATCCCATATTTCTAGCACTAAAGCAGTAGATGGGGATTTCTCTCCATCCTCAGATACACATCCCCCTTTGATTTAACAGTCTTGGATTTGAGATGCAACTTAACATCAGTGAATGCGTGGTAGAACTGCTTTCTAGTTCCCCTGGACACTATTATTCAATCAAAAATATGTCTCAACAGTTTCTTAGAATCCAGAGTCGGGACACAAGCCATGAGGATTGAAGGCACGAATGGAGGAAGACACGGAGGAGGAGACCAGTGATATTTTCCCTGCTCCAAGCTCTGGTGCCTATCCACCATGCTGTCCACCTCGGCCAACATCCTGACTTGCTGAAGACATCCGGGAAGACTTCCAGGTGCTGTGAACCTCACCTTTTCTAACTCCTTCTAGAAGTTTCTATCTAGAGCACTATGAGCAGCTGGGCATTTTCTCCTTCATTGTGCGGCACATGCACCCCTGCTTTGCAGATGAGGAGACGGGGGTCCAGAGAGGGGTTAGCAGTCAGGCTGGCCACACCTGGCATGACTCTTCTCAAGGTTCTAGTCTCTGATATAGTATGGTTGGGCTCCAGATTTGATCCCAGCAAAACAATACAAACCCCAGTGGGTCCATCCACGACTAGACCATTGCCTACCAGGCTACTGGGAAGTGGCAACATCTTTAGGTGGTTGAAGGAAGTCCCTGGGGGTGTGTCCCTGAAGGGGACATGCGTCCACAACCCTTGGCACTCTGTCTGCTTTGCTCCTCCACACTCTCTTCTGCAATGTCTTCCTTGACTCGGGCCCAGGGATGGCAGAGCCAGCCAGCCACAGGCTGAAAACCTTTGAAACTCAGAGTCAAGATGAATCTGTCCCTTATTTTCCTCGGGTAGTTTTCACGGTAAGGAAAAGCAACAGCCAGGCCCTCTAGTTAGCATTCAGCCCAGGTTTCATCTGAAAGCCTGCTTCCTCCTGTTGCTGTCTAACCCTGATCCCCTCGCTCAGAATCCCAGGCCTGCCCCTACTCTCCTTAGCAGGAAGGCTTGGCAGCCTCCTCCAGGCCTCCCCAAGGATGAGGAGCCTCAGCTCTCCTCCCAGAAGGCACTGTTGATACAGCATGCTCTGCCTGTGCTCCAAGTCTTCACAGCTAAGACTGGACCCCTCCAACTAGCACAGGGGCATGCGAGAAAGCCACAGGGATAGAAGACAGTAGGCAGGAGGCCCAGGCCCATGGCTGCATTTGGCAAGTCTCCCAGGGACAGTACCTCCAGCTAAGAAGCTCTTATGAGGACTGAGCAGGCGTGAGGTCTATGGTGCTACTTTCTTTTTTTTCTTTCTTTAAATATTTATTTATTTATTATGTATACAATATTCTGTCTGTGTGTATGTCTGCAGGCCAGAAGAGGGCACCAGACCTCATTACAGATGGTTGTGAGCCACCATGTGGTTGCTGGGAATTGAACTCAGAACCTTTGGAAGAGCAGGCAATGATCTTAACCACTGAGCCATCTCTCCAGCCCCCTGTGGTGCTACTTTCAAGGCCCATGATGGGACTGAGGCTGGTCACACAACACTGCCGATCATGGCCTCTGGCTATGCACAGATGCTGGCCTGAGGCAAGTGAACTCTTGAAATGGTTGACTTGTAGGGACGTTATATCCACCTCATTACATTGTGGGCCACAAATGAGCTGATACCATCAACTCCTCTCACACTGCCTGGCAGAGAGGAAGCAGTTGATGGACATTCTGTCCCTCCGAAATGTGAGCATTGAGCACACGAATACCAGGGACAGAAGATTCTAACTGTTGGGGGGTGTGGCTCCGTAGAATTCAATCCCAGGTTTCTCTTATTTAAGCACATGGATAAATCCCACGCTCTGCAGAGGAAATTTAACCATTGCTAGAGATCTTAGATCTCTCCTCCTGGGCACTCCAAAGCGGGAACAGAAGCTGCCATCCTGGGGGAAATGCCGCCGTGTGGTAGATAACTTAGAGGGACATGGCTTTCACTTGCCTGCTTCAGGTCTGTTACCCTTCCCTGCTAAAGGGCTCAGACAGCAGCCTGCTCTAACGAGAGCAATGAAAAGTGTATGGGCTGTGGTCTGAGAAGGGAAGAAAAGCCCAAGGCAGGGATTACTTGACTCGGAAAGGAAGCAGTAAGATGTTGGTACATGTGAAAGTATTTAATAGCAGGGATGGTGGTGAGTCCTGTGTCAGAGCCGTTAGTGTGGCGGGGCCTAGGGGACTCATCTTAAGATCTTGGAGCATTTTGGGAGAAAGACTTTACCAATCACAGACTTTATTACTAATCATGATTAGCAGTGACCGCGACGCTTGACTGGGTCATTTTCTAAATATGTCTATAAACTGTAAGCCAGGTACTTCCCCATTCACCTTGTGACCTTGACCAGTTCACACTGCGGGACTTCAAGCTCAGCCTCTCCTGAGCACCCCTTGACCAGACTTGATAGGCAACACCTGAGCAAATTTCCAAGGCTGCAGGTTGGCTTCTGAAACTCCAGCCACTCTGCATCCCCACTAGCACTAAGATACCCTTTGTTCGATCACTAGAAAGGGCACAGGGCAGCTGGTACCTGCCTGGCTTGGTCTGACAGCTGGGGATACAACCACCGTGAACAGGACATGGGTCTAGGCCTTGTAGAGAAGCCATTTCGAGAGGAGGAAGCCTGGTTTGGCGAGCACGTGGCCGTGGCTCTCAACCTCCCTAATGCTGCAACCCTTTCATACAGTCCCTCGTGTTGTGATGACTCCAACCACAAAATTATTCCACTGCTACTTCATTAGCTATAATTTTGATAGTTACAAGTTGTAACGTCAATATCTGATCTGCAACCCTCAAAGGAGCTGGGAGCCACGGTCTGAGAACCACTGAAACCACGGACCTAGTGGAGGTAAACTCAGACAGCAAAAAGGTGAATGATACCAAAAGCAAGCTAAGAGTGAGGCTGGAACCTGCAGACACAGTGTTTGGCTTTTTGTAATACTGGGTATTGAACTTTGGCCTCTCCCATGCTAGGAACGGGCTCTTCCAGAAGCTTTCAAGGGGCACCATAAACATCCTTCTCTGCATAGGCTGAACGAGAGAGAGAAGCCTGAGAAAATCATGCAGATGAGGCCGCTGGTGGGCACAGAGTAGTTCACACGGGGCCCTCGCTCATGATCAGGGCCTCCGTGGAGAGGAGCACTTGTGTTCCAACCACACCGGAAAAAGAAACTCAGACAGACAGGATAAGCAAAAGATGGTGGACCAGGGTGGCATCGGGAAGGGTGGTACCTGGGGAGAGCGATCGATAGTCGACATCTGAGCTTGAAGAATGAGCAGGCAAGCATGTTGCCTCTAGACTGCGGTCTTTGCAGACAGCACACCCAGAGTCATGGCTGGCACGATGTATACTAAGGAAACCAAAATAGCAAATATTTTTAAAGAAAAATGTTGTCATAAATAATATTAAAGTGTCTCCTAAGATGAGAAAAACATGTATTATTATAGAACATGAAGCATTATGGAAAATGTTGGGCCAAAATGATCTCAGGGCCTGTACCTCGAGGCCTACAGGACAGAGAAAAGCCTGGCTCGAGTTTGAAGGATAGTCTCAAAGCTACTGAGTGAAGATGAGACAGCAAAATCTAGGTGGACGCTCCTCCAGCCAGAGGGAGGGCTTGGCTGTCTCTCATTGGTTGGAGGTGCCCCCACATACACGATGTCACTTAACCTATAAAGCTGATGCTCATAGTAATAAACTGAGTTCCTGCTTTGACTGGACTCCCTATCACGTCTGATTGTCCTGCGTTGTGGTGCTGCAGAAGGGGCAGATAGCGCACTCACCTTTCAACCTGGGGAATAAGGCTAAGGTGGCCTGGCAGAAAACATGTACATGTATTCACGCACAAGCATGCACGCGCACGCACACACACACACACTTAAAAAAAAGATGCAATCAATATCAAGTATTTTTAGAGAAAACTTTTATGGTAACATGACCAGCGGTGTGCCAAGCACTAGCCCCAGACCCTGGCCTGCTTAATAAATCTCTCCCTGTAAAGCTGACGCCCGTCCAGGATTACTGCTCACATTAGTAAGAGTTGAAAGGGTAGGCACTGCTCACCTGCCAAGACATGATTCGGTCTTTCTTCTGTGCGGGATGACAAAACACAGCACCCACAGGACACCTCTGCTCGCCCCTGGCCTGTCACCATGCAGGGGTGTGATCTGGAGAAAGCGGCCCTTATAGCCCCCAAGACGCCTCCCAGCTCTCAGTGTCCATCTGATGGCCAATCCTGGTTGTCAACTTGACTACATCTGGAATCAACTAAATCCCAAACTACTGGGTTTTCTTCATCAGATTATTTGGAGCAGATAAAGATGTGGAAGGAGGAAATATTGCCTTTGCCCACTTGCCCTCACACTCACTGGCAAGTTTATCTCGTTGCTGCAGCCGGTATCAAATCCACCCTCTCAGGATCCCAATAGAGACTGAAACCAGTATTTCTCCAGGAATCATCTAGGGCTCCAGCTCCAGATCGGGACTGCTGAGACATCCAGCCCTGAGGATTGAAAAGCTACTGGATTCCTGATCTGAGAGACTGCTGGATCACATAGCCTGTTAACCACTTACTAAAGCCCTACACACACACACACACACACACACACACACACACACACACACACACGTAGAATTTAATGTAACGTGGATAACATTGGTGTCAGGAAGCGACATTACATACTCATGGACCTTGCATACAAGATGTCACAGTTATTAATATATTATCTCCTAGGGAGATGGTGGTCAAAGTAACAGCCCTGTTTTCACCAGGAAGGAAACAAGAGAAAGTTAAAAAACATTTGGGGCTATTCAGTTACTTGGTAAACACCACTTTCAAAGGGCCATCTCTTAGCAAATGTTATTTCTCAGCGGCTTCAAACTTGTTCCCAGACTTTACTGGAAACCACAGGGGCAGGTCTGGTTGAATTAAACGCGGTCAGCACTCGGTAGTTTAAAGAGAATGTTTGGGAAACTAGTATTCCTATAGAATTCTGCTAGTGCTCAGCCTGCCAGCTTCCTATACTCAATGATGTCCGTGCCGAGCCTCCAGATAGGAGCACCCAATACCACACAGTTCTCACAGGCTTCCATCAGTGAATGACCTGGGCAAACCCAGGGACACACGTAAGAGCTACTTGACCCAAGGAAGGACCTACAAAAAGTGGCATCAAAGATGTAGGATGAAGGCTGGGCAGCGAGGCTGATAATATGCCACACAGAGTACTGCCTCCTCTGAATGGCTCAAATCTTTTCACAACCTGAGGTTTCCTTAGTGAAGGTGATCTGAAAAGTTCTGCGCTGACGAATAGTCTGTTCGTGTTGCTGGGTGGTGGTGGCGCACACCTTTAATCCCAGCACTGTGGAGGCAGAGGCAGGCGGATCTCTGTGAGTTCGAGGCCAGGCTGGTCTACAAAAGCTAGTTCCAGGACAGGCTCCAGAACCCTGTTTCAAAAAGAAAGAAAGAGAGAGAGAGAGAGAGAGAGAGAGAGAGAGAGAGAGAGAGAGAGAGAGAGAGAGAGAGAGAGAGAGAGAGANAAAAAAAAAAGAAAGAAAGAGAGAGAGAGAGAGAGAGAGAGAGAGAGAGAGAGAGAGAGAGAGAGAGAGAGAGAGAGAGAGAGAGAAAGAAAGAAAGTCAAGTCCATTCATGTTATCTTGAGAGTCCTGCAGTCAGGATGGCCAATTAGTTCTCTACCTATAGCCTGACTGTGGTGGGCCCCAGCTTGTCTGGTGCCCCAACATGAATGAGCTCAGGCCTGGATTCGGTCTTCCACCTTTGTATCCACAGAGTGGGCTTTGCTCATTCTCTGTGTCCATGGTATTTAGCCTTGTGCTTGAGGCTAAGTGGTTTGAGCATGGCAGCCATCCGATGTTAATTTGAAATTAGGGTAAGAGGTAAGCAAACCTTCACGCCATGCTGGAATCCTGGTTCCATAGCTCGCTAGGTGTCCGACTCCTGAGTCTTCGGCCCTCACCTGGAAAGGTGGCACAGATACCTACTTTCTTTATGGGGTGGAGGCTTCAACTAGATAGACCAGGCGAACAGCCTCGGCCCAGGCCTGGCACGCACCAAAGTGGCTAGCAGAAACTGCTACTGTGAGCAGTAAGTCTCCTGCTGCTGCAGGAGAATCCAATCAGCACCTCACAAGCATCCCACGGGGCTCAGTTAACTGCATTCAATGAATGCTTGGTCTATTGCTAGGTGTTGGCTGCAGACCAGGTTCTTGGATTACAAGACCCATTAATCAAAGTTACAATTTAGAACCCAGAAGCCTTTGACTTTTCTAAGTCCAGTTTTAATAATTAAAAAAAAAAAAAAACCCTCATTCCTGTGCCCTTAAGAATAAAGAAGCAGATGAGAAAGGAGGCAACTGCCCACTGTGTCCCAGACTCGTCCTGTGGAAGTTACCAGACTCGTCCTGTGGAAGTTACTCGTGGAACCCAACTTGGACGTTTGGGTCCAGCTCTTCTTTGCTGTCAGCCTCTCGTGCGTAGAGACGAATGCACACAGAGAAAACAGAAAAGCCCTCAGACTGCACCGACCGCTTTCTTGATCCCTCAATTACAATATCCTCTTTTGCAGTATATCCCTGTCAAACATTTGGAACGAATTAGGACTTTAAACTTCCAGATGTTCCAACTACTGTAAATTTAAACTCATTAAAGAGAGGGCAGATTTACTACCTCTACTCAGTTTTGAAGTCTGTTGTTCACTCCGTCCAAGTACTTTATGGACACAAACACAGTGGCATGTGCTGTATTCTATTTATATAGCATGCGTGTTGGGAAATAAGGGGCCTAGAAACAGGTCTGGGAAGGAACTGCCAACCTATAGTTCAGACTTATTGTTCCTAAGTCAGTAACTATTTCCTGAAGCTGAGCTAGGAGATAGGTTTATGCTAATCTATACTAAAAATGACTGCTTCTCCTGGGCACAGAAACCTGGCCAGAGCAGCCTTTGACGGCGGCAAGGCGAAAGCTGCACCCACTCGTGAAATAAATGGACCCGGGCCCACGGCCCTTTGTGGTAGTGTCTTGGCAGCTGAACAAAGGTGGCAGCATTTCTACATCCAGTCTGTAAAGCCTCAGAAGTTGCGGGCTCCAAGATTTTCCCCCACGAGAAGCCCATGTCGACTATAATGAGTGCATTTTCGATGTTGTGCTGAAAGCTGGCAACGGATTAAAGAAGTCTATGTCCAAGACAAATGTTTCCTTACAAACCTGAAGAATGAAGTGGCTTTCATAATCAATTTTAAGATCAAATGCCTGGGCTGAAGTACCTGGTTCTGGTTGGCTATTTAATTGGGGACAATTAATTTACCTCTGTGCGCTTGCTTTCTTCACTGAGAAACGGACGAGATAATGAAGGTGCTTTGTCAGCTCTGAAATATGGTGTAAATATTAACAAACACTGCCCGGACAGCTTCCCTGTGCCTGATGAATCACTTCACTTCACGCAGCGCTAAGAAGTGGCCAACCCCCAGAAGAAATGAAAATAAACCAGACCCAGCTCATTTATTACAGAGGGGTCGATCTCCAGAAGAAGTCTCTTCCAACCCAAACCCCTACTGAACTTACTGGAGTCTATCAAAGAAGGCAGAAGAAACTGCATGCGAATTTGAATGGAGGATCTGTTCCCATCTGCTGTACAGAGCCATCAGCCCATAGTAGGATTCAACTGTGTGACTTCCCCCCAGAAGTGAGAGTAAATGCCAGGAACAAAAATTCCTGAAATTAGATGTTAATTCTCGAATACATTTCTTATGACATTTTGCAAGCTGTCCAGATAGACTTCTTCAAACTACACAAGGCTTTTGTAGACACTTTTCCTTCGCCATAATTTTAATAAATCTAATCTACTGAAGTTGGTTATTTAAAAGTACAGTTGCGGATGGGGGTGGGCTGGAGAAGTGGTTAGGTGGTTAAGAGAGTTCAGTGTTCTCGTAGAAGACAGGGCAGGCAGTTCCCAGCACCCACGTCTGGCAGCTCACAACAATCTGTTAACTCCGGCTTCAGGGCCTCCAACCTGTGCTCACAAACACACATACCCCCCCATACATATATACAATATTCAAATACAAATTAATCTTTAAGAAATAAAATACAGTTGTGGTCCCGTGGGTCAACTCTAGGCTGTAAGTTGTGTGGGTTAGTGAACTTGGTTACTGCCAATACTTGGCTGAGAAGTCTGGCATATTTGTAATATAGATAGCCACCACCGTCACCATTTTCCAATTAATTTTTGTTTTTTGAGACAGGGTTTCCCCTTGTAACCTTGACTGTCCTGTGGACCAGGCTGGCCTTGAACCTAAGAGATCTGCCTGCCTCTGCCTCCCAAATGCTGAGATTAAAGGTGTGTGCCACCACTGCCCAGCTAATTACCTTATCTTATAAAGTAGAAATTCGCCACCAAAGCTACACAGACTATGAAAATCCTTTTTCTGTTTACTGAAAAGGGTTTTTTTTTTTTTTTTTTTTTTTTTTTTTTTTTTGAGGCAGGGTTAATCTGTAGCTTTGGAGCCTGTCCTGGAACTAGCTCTCTGTAGACCAGGTTGGGCTAGAACTCAAAGATCCGCGTGCCTCTGTCTCCCGAGTGCTGGGATTAAAGATGTGCGCCACCACCGCCCGGCGGGTTCTCACTATTGTAACCTTGGCTGGTCTGAAACTCACAGCAATTCTCCTGCCTGAGATCCTCATATAGCACACCTGGCATGAAAGATCCTTTTTAACAAACTAGGGCTTTACCAGGGTGCAGCTCTGGCAGAATGCTTGCCTGGCACCCTTACACCTTCCACAAAGCCCCAAGCTAGAGGATACCCAAACACAAAAGATGGCACCTTATACGCTTCTGGCTACATGGCTGCAGTAGACTGAAACAGGTCCTATTTTGTAGTTACTGCTGTCTAAGGGAATCTATTTGCTCATCCCTTCCACCTAGGCTAGCCAAGTGACTTGCTTCGACAATATGGGGTACAAGTGATACCCCTGAGTTTCTGAGTCAGGCTTTGAAAGTGCCCTTGGTACTCCAGGACCACAACGACATTAAGATAAGACCACATGGAGAGACCAACCATCCCACCTAGACACCAACAAATTTTCAAACAAAAGACAGAAAGCCCACACGACCTTTGCAAAGAAATTGTTTAACCAATCTCAAAAGTGTGAACAGTGAAATGCTTTCTTTAAGCCATTGGGTTTGAGCAGCAACAGGCATTGAAAATAAATCATCTAATCCTTACAGCACCGCCTTCTGGTGGAGGAGACAGACCTTGGCTGGGACAGCCTGCCAGGCACAACAACTCGAAACAAATGACAGGCCAGGGCCGATCGGTCAGTTCTCTGTTAGAAACAAACACTGTGCATAATGCCAATAACATAAAGTCGTTTCGTCTTCTATAACCTGCATAGGCAACGTGTCCTGATTTGATACACCACAGGGCTTGACTCAGCGCTTCAGCAAATGTATCTGACAAATGCATTTTCCTACACCTTAAGCCACATACGAAAAAAGAACTAGAAAAGTATCTCATCTTGAATTGTAAATCATGAGGGTGATTATTAAATAATCATTTTAAGAAAATGTACAAGAATGTGTTTTGATCTGCCAAAAATACCTCAATTTTTGAAATTTAAACAAAATTCACATTTTATTTAGATTGAAATAAACTGTACAAAATTGTGATTTTATTCACCAAAAATAACGGTAATATTTTCTGTATTACTCTTTAGATAAACCACAAAACATTTATTTTTGAAGGTTTTGCTTATAAATCAAGACACGGTGGTAGACATAATCATGAAAGACAAGAAAACAGACAAGTCGGTTGCCTGTACGGGTGGCCTTTGCCTGTCTTCACCGCGGAGCAGAAGTGAATTTACCTGTGGAAAGGGCTATGGAAATGTGGGCTCGACAAAGGAATGTAAACAGCAACAACCAAGAGGGTTGACAGCGCCTGGCTCTGCCGTTCACTCGCTCCTCTGAGGTCCTTCCGTCCTGCACAGACTACTGAAAGCTGCTTGCTGAGCTCACAGACTCTGTAACTCCTGGGCTGCTCATCACGTGGTTGGATTCTGATGCTTTCTTCTCTGCTCCGCAGTCCTGAGGCTTAGGCTTGGGCTTGCACGTGCTCAGCAAGTGCTCCACTGAGCTATCCCAGACCCTTGCTCTTTTTTTTATTGAGACAGTCCCACTATGTGGCCCAGGCTGGACTAAAACTTGTGATCCTCATGCCTCTGCCTTCCAAGAGCTGCTACCACAAATTTTAAGCACCCATAACTCCTACAGGTCAAAGTCAACGGTGTACACTTCATGGTAATACATTATAAAATGTATCTCTCACAAATTCATTTTCCAAAGGCCTGATAACGCACCACCTGACAACTGAATCCATAATGATAACGTTACATCTAGAATAACTTTAAAACAGTTCCCGAGTGCCAGAGCAGGGAGGCATTCTGACATTCCCGGTGCCAACTCCTACAACAGACAGGTATGGAGAGCATGAGAGTTCAAACGGGGGCCAACACACGGGTTACCAACAGCTAATGACGCACTTGACTAGAGGTCTTGCTGTACGCGCGGTTAACTGACCCACTATACCTTACGCTTTTCTTCCAAACGGCAAACACAAAGACGAGAGTCATTTCAGAAATCTTTTAGGCATTTTCAATGGTTTCCGAATTATTCGTAGGAAGCTCTGGTTTATTTGTATAGAGTTTGATGTATGTGTCCACCATTAAATCCAGATCATGTTTTATATCAAAATTTATGTTAAGCAAAGCCAAATTACTTGACCTTTGGTCTGTCAAAGTGTTCCGCAGATACGCCTTGAGACGCTTCCGTCCGTTTTCATAGCGCTCATTCTCAACTTTCATCACAGGGAGGATACACAGGACCTTCAGCAAGGCATACACATTGGGGAAAAACTTGATGTCCGGAAGATGCAGGGCTTCGTAGATGGTGGACGGGAGCTCGATGTCTTTCCCTCTGTGCTTCCACTTGATTCTCCAACAGTGCAGCTCGGCTGAGAGCGTGTCAGGGTTGGGCAGGTCACTTCTGTACATGTCGGCATGGTGCTCCTCTGAGGTGTTGAACTTGAGCTGCCCCATCACCGAGGGGACCAGGGACAGGCATTTCAGGGCTTTGAGGTGCTGCTCAGAAAAGATATCTTTCAGCTCCTGAATAATGTGCTCCACCGTGGGAACACTGAGGGTGTCTTTATAGTAACTCTCCGAGGTCAGCTGAGATTCCATGTTACCTTGCTGGGTCCTCCGGAATTTCCCTGGGAGTTTCATTTGAACGTCAAGTTTGGTTGCTAAGTTTGTGGCTTCCTCGAACCAAAACTCGTGATAAACTTCGATGTTCTCCATCACCTCGTTAAGCGAATGCAGTACTGCAGTCAGGCTGCTGGCTGCAAAGAAGACATCTGAGGTTTGTCCCTGGAGATTCTTCCCAAAGGCTCTCGTAAAAGATAACACATTCTTAAGAACAACAATGGTAACGATGAAATCAAAGTCTGTCACTGCGCTAGAGAGGACAAATGCTCGCCCCGCTATGCAGTTGTTCCACCTGATACTCGTGTCGCTGTTTATGGCGTCTAAACACAGAACAAGTGCTTGCAGGAGATCCACCAAGACCTCAAAGGCGTCGTGCCTGCCTGTCCACTGGGAATGGCAGATCTCCTTCAGTTCTTTCCCTCGCTCTTCACTGTTCTGGAAAAGAACAGAGATCACATTGTCAAGTTCTAAGAGCAGCTGTGGTGACCGGTGGAAAAAAGAACAGACTTCCTCGATCGTCCCTAACGCCATGGACACCCCGACCACAGGGACAGACTTCGCCAGCCAGGCATTCAAGGCACAGGAGGAGCAGAGGGTGTAGACGGCCTGGGGGTATTTTTCTAAAAGTCTCGAGGCAACAACTTTCATCTTGGAAGAAAACCCACTGGACACAATGTAGGCCTGACCACGGCAATACTCCATATTCAACCCCCACTTCTCAGTTATCGTAGTATGAAATTTCACAGCCAAAATCTCTGCATCGGCTTCGTACGGCAGGAAGCCCACAAACTCCTCTCTCAGGTTGTGAGCTTCGTCGACAAACCTCACCAGCACGGGCAGCTGCTCCTCTCCTGCTATGTCCACCACGTCGTCCGTGATGATAGAGAAGAAGTGTGAGTCCCTCACTTCCCTGAGCGTCTCCTCCCGGATGCAGCTCTCGCAGATCTCCAGCATCTGTCTCTGCTGAGCTTTAGAGCAGAAGAGCGTGTTCACCGCTGTGGTCTCAAATCGCTTCCGCAGGACCTCTTCTCCGGAATTGATCCGGCACTCCAGCAAGGCCTGAAAGTTGTCTGGAGCGAAGAGGCCTTCTGGGACCTCATCAGCCTCGTGCCCATCCAAGGGTATGTTCTGCTTCCCCATGAGAATCAGGATCTCAAACAGCGACTTGAGGTACTCTTTGTTCTCCTTCTCTTCGAGGGTGAGAGGCAACACGTTTCCATCCTGCTGGGTGTCTGTTTCAGCACTGGGGTTCTGAGCAGTGTTGTTAGTTTCCTGTTCTTGTTCACAAGCTTCCTCAACTGGAAAACAAAGGAACCACAAAAAGACAAAATAGATCACAATTTTGATTGGCTAAATATCTAAAATCTACAAACACATTCATTCACCACTAAAGAACACCGACAGGATAGGACCCAAATTAAGTTAGTAAAATGAAGAGACAAATGCTGTGGACAGACTTTAATAAACACAAATGCTGTTATGAAGTAGGGACAATTTTTAGGAAGGTGAAGAGGACAGTGTTTCCACAGGTATCTTACATCTTACATGTATCACACTACTTTCTTCAGGCGGATGCCATCAACCCCACTTGACTGCAGTTGTCTTTCCTAGTCCAGAGTGCTCCATGGAAGCCAGGCCATGTTGTCTCTAATTACAAACTCCTCTCTCAGTGGTTCCAACTGCTAGCAACTCACAACGCTGCAAGTTCTGAACTCTGCTCTCTCCTCTGGGTTCATCTGTTAAGCACCATAGGCTATCAGAGACGCTAACAACATCTAAGTGAGGGTGTTTACTTCAATCTAGCAGCTTGTTTTGTTCTACTCTGTTTCTATCTTTCCTGCCTTTCTTTGCTGAGCATGTTTCTTTATCTATAAAGAAGGAAAATATTATTTATCATGCAGCTACTGTGGGAATTAAACAAAGCACCAGGATGATAAATGGTATCAGCCAAAGCTATGTCTATAGCAGCAGAAGAAGATAAAGGAGGAGAGATGGTGTCCAGTGGTAAGAAAAGAAGCAATTTCTAGCCCCATCGTTTGACGACACAGCTTACACATCAACATCAGCACCTACAGAGACTCTGTAACCACTACACCCAAAATACCCACTGCCTTACAGCCAGGAACTAATTATGTTCCACGATGTGCGTGGCTGGCTTTTCTGGAGCACTCCTTCCCTACAGGGACCCCTAACCACTCCGAGGGCCTCAAGGGGAGAAGGTGCTGTGCTCTGCACAAGACAATGCGGGCAGCACAACTCTGCACACAGGGGATCCTTCAGGCTGCAGGGCAGCGTCAACCACAGTTTTACACTCACACTCAAGGAAGGTTTTGGATATGAAACACATTTATTTGTTCTTACCAGGTCAACCCTTTTAAAAAGGAATTCAAAAGCGTCATCAACATTATCACTTACTTTTTTTCTGTTTCAGTGTTCTGATTTCATCTTCACTCTAAAAAAAAAATTTAAGACAATCATCTTTAGTAAATCATCTAGACTTAAGCCTGTTCAGAGCAAAAAAAAAAAAAAAAAAAAAAAACTTATTTGAGAGTTTAAGGGGCTTTGTTTTTAAAGAAAGTGTCTCATGTACTCCAGGGTGGTCTTGAACTAAGTAGCTGAGGATGACCTTGAACTTCTGACACTTTGCCTTTACCTCCCAAGTACTGGTTTATGTGGTGCTAGGAATTGAACCCAGGCCATTGTTCATGCTAAACAAGTATTCTGATCAGCAAGACTACATCCCTAGCTCCAGAGAGAATCAATTCTTCACACTGAATACATTCTTAAGACACATAATAGGAAACCAAAACCATGTGACATGCTCCTGATTCCAAGCTTATACTGAAGTACTAGAAGAAAAATGACGTATTATTGACCTACTTTCTCCCTAATGTATCCTAACCGGACTAATGCATACTGAGTGATAATTGAGATGAAGATAGACCACAGCACTTAGCGTCATATTCAAGAGGACACGATGACTCCTCTTCCCAATCTAACCCTAAATGTCACAAAACCAGGAGGCTGCTGACCACAGAACTTCATGAGAAGGCCAACTCAGAAGAAAAAACAACAGAGTTTCTCTGTACCCCAAACCATCAGAGTTAGAACTTTCCAGATCAGTCTTGCATTCTCCCACCAACACTCTCTAGTGTTTGTATACACTTCCACCACTCTCTGTGGCAGGAAAGCAGTGCCAATGAAAGCCAGAGACAGCAGGGCACCCGATG